AGCAGCTGGGCCTGTGGCAGTGCCTGGCTCCAGCGGGGGCACAGGAGGGACCCCAGCTGCGCCCCAGTTCTGCGTGGCTCCGCCAGGTCCACAAAGGCCCGGCAGGGGAGGGAGGCAGCCCGCCGGATTGAGCACGTAAGAATACAGGTGCCCAGTTACGTGTGAATTCCTGACAAACCGCAAATGAAATGTTAGTGCCAGCCGGTCCCATATAACATTTGGGACATATTTATACTGAAAAGCTGTTCACTGTTTACCTGAAGCTTAAATGTAACTGGGTGCACCGCACTGTATGTGGCAACCCTCATGCCATGTGTCCTTATGCCGTGTCCTCCTGAGATCCATCCGCGGCCCCCAGTGCCTTAGGCGGGGATGCACACAGAATGCACATGGGATGCACATGGGATACACATGGGATGCACATGGGATACGCACAGGATGCGCACGGGATGCACACAGGATGCACACGGGATGCACACAGGATGCACATGGGATACGCACGGGATGCGCACAGAATGCACATGGGATGCACACAGGATGCACACGGGATGCACACAGGATGCACACAGGATGCACACGGGATGCAGAGCCCGCGGCGGGGCTCCTGCCTCGGAGCCATCTCAGCAGGAGGATGCGGTGGAGCCCAGCTGACGCGAGAAACGGAGCGGCCCTCCATTCACTCCCCAGGGACCACGCCAGCCCTTTGCAGGCGCCTCCTGGGGTCGGGGAGCCCCCAACCCCCACCATGGCCACCAGCGGGCCCCGTGAACCTCATCTCCACCAGAGGCGCCCGGCCGGGAAGCCATCTCTTTGTGTTAGCCCTTCCTCCTTCCGCTTCCTCCTCTTCACAGGTGGGAAACCCCTGGTTTTAGCCCAAAGGACCCCAAAATCCACACAGCATTTCCATGGAACCTGCAGTCGAACCCTGGACTTCAGGGCTGTCCCAGAGTGTCGCTGGGCAGAGCTGCCCGCCTTCACATGAGCGACACCGATCTCCCGGACCGGGGACCAACCACAGCCTCTCTGCTTTCGGGCTGACAACAGGCCAGCTGGGGGGTGACGGGGGCCACTGCGGGCATGAGGCCCCAAGAGGGGTTAGGGCAGCAACAACAGGCATTTACGGGGTGCTGCGTGCTCAGGGCTCACATCCGAGTAGACCTTCCCTCCCCACCAACCCGACAGGCCAGGCCCACGACCCGCGACCCCGCGACCCTGCGCCCTGGGCTTCCCTCCCCCCTCGCCCAGGCAGGTCGCAGTTTCTGTGTTATTTGGGGGGTGATGTGCCCAGGTCTGGGGAGGGGCACAGGGCCTCTCCATGGGCCTTCTCATCGCACCCCTCCTCCAGGGCGCCCCAGCGCCTGTCACTTCCTGCAGGCTGAGCCCATCCCAGGCCACAGCCATGCGGATGTGGAGGACGGAGGGGTCAGGGAGGAGGCGGAACTCTCAGGTTTTCTCCCAGCCTCCCAAGGGCCTCCAGAGAGGTGGTTATATAAGGTTCCTGTGTGTGTGTGTGTGTGTGTGTGTGTGAAGGCAGATTTTTTAAATACGAAGAAACGCCATGCAGGGCAAATAACGGGGCGAACTGCCTGTGGACAGGGCAGGTCCTGAGCCACGGAACCCGGCCTCCCGTGGGCAGGGCTGGACCAGGGGCTGGACCATCCTGGCACTGCCGTGTGCCCAGGCCAAGCCCGGAGCCCGGCAGGAGGAGGCACCCGGCAAATATTTGCAGATTTAGCAAAAGAAATCAAGGAGATGAAAGGAGGGGACATGGGCCAGGATTGGGGGTGACAGGAGGGAGCCTGAGAGAGAAGCTGGGAGGGGGCTCCGGAGGGGAGGGGGCTTGGCAGGAGGCGGGGCTCGAAATCAGGAAAACTGCTGAGTCAAACCGTCTTTGAAAAGGCCCCAGATTGTTCATCTAAGCCCTCTTCTTGCTCAATTTCAGTTCAAGCGGCTGCAAATATTTGAAATGAGTAATTTCTCCTGATGAAGAGGGTCTGATTTTGATTCTGCCTCATTTCCGTGGAGATTTAGGGGAGCACCCGGGGGAGAGGGGCTGAGTCTGCCGTCAGGCAGCTCCGGTCAGCCACCCTCTCTCTCCCCCAGGCTGCCGGGCTGGTGCACCGGGACCAGGGACCGGCCGGGGCCACCCCTGAGCCCTGAGACCAGCATCAGAGGGGCCCCATCAGGGCACAGAAGCAGCCAGGCGGCCCCAGGCCTGCGTGAGCCCCCTCCAGGCCCTGCAGCCTCCGCGGGGCCTCAGGCCTCTGGTCTGCTGTCTCCCCCGCCAGCCCTGGCCCCTGGCCTCCAGGTTTCCTAGCCAGTCCCTGAGCTCCGGCCCTGCCTCCACCGGAGGCATAGAGCAGCTGCCAGGGTGCTCATGGGCAATGCAGTGCATGTGTGCTGGCACCACGGCTCTCAGTGAGCTCCCGGCTCGGGCACAGGCCCCCTGCACCCGCCCTCGCCCCCACACAGCCGGGGATCCTGGTAAAACCTATGTCCCTTGGGGTCACACCCCAACTGACAACCAGCAGTGGCTTCCTGGAACAGCCCTCTGCCCACCCCCCACCCCCAGAGCCAAACCTAGTCGCCAACAGTCACGCCCGTTCCGAAGGGCAGAGCCTCCGGAAGATGGAGCCTCCCCCTGAGGTCTGAGCCCAGCCCTGAAGACCCGACATTGTCCCAAAGGGAGAGCCCACCCCAAAGAGCCCAACTGGCCGTGAAGGGCGGAGCCTCGCCCAGAAGACAGGAACCTGGTTCTAACACCTGTGCCCACCCCGAAGGGCAGGGCAGAGCCCGAGGATGGAGCCCGGCCCGAAAGGCTGAGGGCCCCTCTCATCCCCCTCACTGGCCGTGCCCTGCCCTCAGCTCTGCCCACCACCGCCCGCTCACCGCCCTGGTTGGACCCCTTCCCATTCGGGGCTCAGCCCCAGTGTTTGCGCCCTTGTGTGCGGCCGTTCTCATTTAGACGGAAGATGTATGTTTGCTTGTGGCTGCCTGAGACCCAGCGATTCTTTAAAAACCAGCGGCAGGGACTCCGGCGCCAGGAGCCGGGAGCCGGGAGCCGGGAGCCGGGAGCATGTGTGTGGAACATATTAAGGAGGCAGAACGGATAAGGTTTGGCAATTGAAATGGGCCGGGAGCCGGGAGCAGAGGTGGGCAGGCCTCCCCTGGGAGCGCGTCCTGGGTCTGACCTTGAACCACTTGAATGCCCCATGCAGCCGCACACAGATGCAGACCTAAGCGGACGGACGCCTTTTTTAAGGATGCCTCTCCTGCCTGCAGAGGCCCTGCCTGGGACCTCGCTGACACGGCCCTCCGTCCTGTGTCCCCTCCCCGCGCTGTTCGGCCACAGCCCATCACTAACCGCCATCACTTCCACGTGCGTTTGATTATCGTGTGTCCCTCCCGCTGAGATGTCACCTTGTGAGCTCAGGGCCCTGTCCGGTGCCGGCGCCACGTCAGAGACACCCGGGGAAGAGCGAAAATCGCCACAGAGCCGCTCCCCCCGCCTGGCCGTGCGCACCTTACACACCGCCAGGGCCCGGAGCCGGCAGCCAGGGCTGCACCTGCGCTCCACGGGGGCTGGGTGAATGTTTGTCGAATGAGTAGAGCCACCGACGTCTATAACACATTTTCACAGATGGACAAACCCTGGCCTCATGGGTCAGGGGTTAGAGCAGCCGCCTGTGCACCAGAGGGTCGCGGGTTCACTTCCCAGTCAAGGCACGTACCTGGGGGACAGGTCTGATCCCTGCCCCTGGTCAGGGTGCCTGTGGGAGGCAACCAATAAATGAGACATCAACGTTTCTCTCTCACACCCCTCCCCTCTTCCCTCCCTTCCACTCTCTCTAAAAAACATATAAATAAATAGGTGAACATATACCTTCCAGAGGGACAAGCAAAGCTTTTTAGGATGAAAACAGCCAGAAGAGCTCCTGGTGCAAAGTAGATACTCAACACACGGCAGCGACTCTAGTTAGACTAAAGTGTAAATGACTTACCGGGCTGGACCGCTTTCTGTGAGCAGGAGGAGGAAGTGCGGCCAGGAGAGCCCTGAGGAGAGAAGAGGGAACAATTCTAGAGACACGGTGTTTCTCCAGTGACTGTACCATTCCCTTTTCCTTAATAAAATAAGTCTCCTCCGTGCGTGTCTCTGCTAACATTGCCCAGGAGCCCCCGTCAGAGAAGCTACACTTTCCGACGAGTGCCCAGAAAGCCCACAGCCCCCCAGGGCCCAACAGGGCCACATTGAGGCACTGGGAGGCGAGAGAGCAGGGAGGAACAGCCTCTCACTCCACCCCCCGACCCCGCCCTATCCTCACAGCATCTTTGGGAAGCAGGTGTGCTATTGCCCCATTGCACAGCTGGGGAGGGTGAGGCCAGAGAATGGCCTGCTCAAGATAGCACTGCAAGAGCGCCCCAAGCCAGGAGTCCGCCCAGCCTGTCCGTGCCCCGTCCCCACAGCGAACTGCCTTAGGCCAGGTGCGCCACCCGGGAGCCTCAGTTTCCCTATCTGTAAAGTGGGGAGAACAGAGGCTCCTATTCAAATTTATTGTGAACATTTAATCTTTTAAACAGTATCTCACAGGTCTGGGGGGGGGTAGGGGGTGCTCATCAGACGTTCTCCTTCTCCCAGGGAGCCCTGTGTCAGCCCCTCACTGGGGTAACAGCCTGGGACGGGCCTCCCTCCGGTGAGTGG